TGGTGGTGAGATGATGTATTCTCTTCCCTTGTGATTTCCTTTATCATTATTATCATTGGTGGTAGCAGTAGTGATTTGTGTTATACCTTAGTTACTAAACTGTTCTTATCTCAACCCGTGGGAGTTGCATTCTTTTCGATTCTCCTCTCCGTCCCTCCGAGAGCAGGGGGAGGGCAAGAAAAGGGGGGGAAGTGAGCAAACGAATTACCTGACTGGGTTTAAACCACGACATCCAGTTACATTTTCTATTTACTTTGGCTATCGTCACCTAGCACCAAGGAACTTGTGGCAGACAAACAGTAATGATTAATGGATGCTAAAGCAGGTGGTATCCATTTGAACTTTCCAGGCATCAGATCTTAAATAGAGTTGTAGAAAATATGATAAATATAAAAAAAATCTGGAAGGTCCAAACATCTATTAGAAGAAAAATAACTATTAGGTGAAGCAAGAAGCTCATGTAGAATTCACAAATCAAGTAGATAGAAAGGAGCAACTAAATAAAAGGAGATTGATGAGAGTGAGAATGGTTATCTGCCTCAGTTTTAATCACCAGAACAGCAAGCAGTTCCCCCCATCTGCTCCCTGATAGCCACAGTGAGGTACTCCTGAATAAGGAGACAACAGAACAGGGAATGGAATAAACTCAATATTTGCATGCCCTCCAAAAGGAGAAGCCACTTCTACAGAGGACAGGAAAGTAGTAGACATTGCATACATGTTAAAGTTGGTTTTAGAAGTGATTCAAGGAACTACAGTTAATGACTTAGATGGGAGAATTTGGTCAAGCTGATCATGAATCACCTGGCAGCATCTGCACTCCACATCACCCAGGTTATGGGAAGTTCAAGAAAGGATGGTAGAAGACCATCTTTTCTTGGACAAGGATGTGCATGGTCTGAAATACCCCCTCACAGGGATGTAGTGTTCCGTGTATCAAACCAGATCAGATGGAGAGCTGCTACAATTTTAGATGTGTTTTCAAGAAATCCAAGTACATAAAAAGCCTCTTCTAGGCCCATAAATGAAACTGGCCAGAAGTATATACAGGCTCTTAGTCCAAGTGAGCTGCTATGCCCACGTCCATGCAGGTTCACCCTCTGCTTCACTACGCTTCTCTTATCACCATTTGAATCCTCCCAGTGACATCCCCATGACCATGTCAGTCCCAGAACCATGCCTGAGCAAAGTCTACTGCAAAGTCAGCCTGCTGACAAAGGGTACGGGCAACCACATATCAGTGACTGGAGACATGGCCTGGCCTAGATTTCTTCATGTGTGCAGATGGAAGGGCTGTGACAAGGTACAGTTAATCTGACAAACACAGACAAACACATGTTTTTTTCAGAAGCATGCACTTCCAAGGAGAATAGATCAGGTATAATTTAATCTCATCCTAGAGTAAGGACCTAAATTAAGATCAAGCCCTTGAAAAGCCTATTTCTCTTCACCCACATCTAAGAAAATAAGCTAAGGAGTAAACGTCTGTAACTCAGACACTTACTGTTAAGTGACATGAATCTTACAATGAGGCATCTGAATCTGACTGCATGAATCAAAAGCATGAATTTCCAGAACTGGCTGCCATGCTGATCAGTATGCATTGCCTCCTCAGTTTATTTACCCATAGTTGTAGTTAGGAGCTATTACATCCTTTGCAGCACTGAACCATAACAAAGATTAGCTAGTGCATGTGGCTAATAATAGTTTTGGAGAGAAAAGAGATTATTAATCAAGCCTGATTCTTAAACCACATCTTTCTATTGTGTTTTAGCTATAGGAAAGTACTTAAAGCAACAAAAGGTAGGGAAGCTGCAGACATGCCATCAGCAACTACCAGTACATTTGCTCTATGTGCCGTGGCAACCTTGTTATTGTGAGTGTTTCTACCTCTCATGTGTGCCTGTTGTTTCAAGGTTTACATTGTCACCAGTATTTGATTGCCAAGCTTCAGGTTCCTGCCTCTAAGTGAAGGCATCCACTCTTTTTAACCTGACCTCTCCCATCCAAGTACTTGTTGGTTCTTCCTAATGAGCCCATCCATCTCTGTTTGGTGACAATTCAAACATGTCCATTCTTTGAGGAGAGAGGAAGGATCTTTAAAACACTAGGAGTGATTACAAAGCACTATGGTATTTTATATGAGCTAATAAATACCCAACTAATTTTACAAAAGAATCAGAAGAAAAGGAAATGTGTATACACAGTCAGTGATGTCTCTAATTTTTTTTCATCTGTGGGTAAAAATGGTTTTAGTTTTTTAGAATTTTAGTTCCAATCAAGAAGTATTCTAAAATGTTTTTGGAAAGTGGAAAAAGTGATTAATCTTGGAGAGAAATTTATGGAATATATCTGCTTGGTAGGAAACGGGAAACCATCCTTATGTGCCTCTCACCACACGTGGCCCATAAACATGAGAAAGGTGGTAACAATTGGGAGGAGTGGCAGAGGCATTGCATTTTTCAAGTCCTCTGAAAGTTCCAGCTGCTTGGATGTGGGAGGGTGTTTGTTCATGGCTATTTGCAGAATGCTGCCACTTGTCTCATGATGATTTGCCTGCCTTTTTATGAAAAGAAAGACCCTCAGTCGAGAAGCAGAGGAGAAATGAGCCTGAGTCCAAGTGGCCTGGTTCATTTATGTTGATAAAATAATAAAATTTTTGGAAAAGCTTCACTGAGGAAAGGCAGGAGAAAGACAGCTCTGGTTTAGAGGTGAAACAGGAAGAAGAAATGTTTTCACATAAAATTATTTGTAGAAGTTTTTTAGAAGCACTGGCTAAAGAAGTTGTGCAAACAAGGTTTGGTGTTTTGTTTTGAGCATGGATCAGTTAGGCACAACCCTCAAGGAGATTCAACTTGTCCAGGAAAAGGAAAGTCCTACCTATAGTCACCACAATGTAGATATGTTCTTCCACAGGTTGCTTACATTACCACTGAAACTTCTGTGCCAGGAGTTTCCTCTTAAGAGACCTCTAATAGACCTCTAATATACTGCATTATTAAAGAGATATTTTCTTCTGCAGGATGCTGTTTTAATGTACAGAATCTTCAACAAAATGAAAAACACACATCTAACTACCTCTTTTCATATAAAATCATTCTTCTGATTGCTCAGAAGAAAATGTGATTTGTCTGTGTCTTAAAATACTGCAGGAATTGTAAACCTTATTGATATTTCTGAAGCCATAAAGAATAAAGACAGTATTATATTAAAGAATTTGCAAGCTAAAAATACCTTTTCTTTATCAAGTACTTGCAGAGAGAAGGAACCTTTGTGAATATATTCTTTGTGAATTCATTATTATTATTGCCATTGTTGTTTTCATTGTTGTTGCTGTCATATTGTTATTCCTGTGTCTATTTTAAACCACAGTCAGGTCTGAGGTTTCACTGTAATTTGTATAAGTGATCCATAAAATCTACATAATAGATTACTGTTACTGCAAAACATTAGGGTTTGCATGAAGGGGGAGCCTTTTTGCAGTGGATATTTTCTCAAAGGAAAGAAATTAAAGGATTATGGAAGTGATCACAGGAATAAAGTGTGAGCAAGCCTCCTCATGTGGCACAGCTGTGTGGCTGCACAGAGGCCATGTGGGACAGCTTGTGAGGCAACACTTTCTCCCAAAGTTTTTCAGTCATTAAAAAGTCTGTGTTTGTTGTAGGCTTGTACGGAGGTGGAAAAACAGAAATCTTCTCTGCCTGCCTGAGCACACATCAAGATATTAGAGCCTGGGATTTCAGCAGGAGAAGGATCTTCTAAAGGGCTCAACTCAAAGAAGAGTACTGACTGAATTCCCCTTTCATCAAGATGTGTCTTCCAACTTGGACTGCTGCCACATGCACCTGAGTCCTGCTGTCTCAGTCTAGGCTGGCATGTGGTCAGTGTGTGCTGTCACTCCTTTCGAAGGTGGGGTGTGAATTCATTTGAAGAGGTAGTTATAATACATAGAAAAGGGAGGAATGTGCCTGGCCTTTCTGGGCCCAGTATGAGTTCAAGACATGGTTTGAACAGCTACGTGGAAGGGAAGGAGCTCCCAAACATGCAGGCTGCAGTGTAGGCAGCCATTTCAACGCTAATCATTCACTGAAAGCGTTAAGATAGAGAACTTCTCCCAGAAATCCATTTCCTTCTATGAGAGTCAGACCAGACCAAACCCAAAGCTAATCAAACCAAACCACTTGGCTCTGACCTTGCTGCCAAACTTTTGACACCAGTGCATTGAGCATGTTGCATTCTCCAGTGGGAGGCTATAGATCAACCAAATTCCTTTGCTCAGGGATAGGCCAGGGCCCTGGCAGTGTTACAGCCCTTCAGGCTTCATTGCAAGAAAAACATGAAGAGAAAAAACAATCTGGTGCTAATATATCTGTGATGCAAATATTTCAAATGGGAGCATATACTAAGGCCAGTTTTATTTCATGTATTGCTCAGTCTTAGGTCATATAAAACCCCTCACACCTAGGCCATATAAAAGCCCCAGATTCTCATGAACACTTCTCTGAGACAGGTGAACAGCATTTCTAGTTCCTAGGTGGAAAAAGCTATTGTATGGAGATTAATCCCTAACCATGCAGACAGAGTGAGGAAGGATTAAAATTGCTGGGACTTTGCCAGCCTACCCATTTCTTTGAAGTCCAGAATCTCTGGGTTACTTACTGCTATGAATCCGAATGTCTTCAGTGTTGATTTAGCTCCTAAGGGGGGCAAAAGAAGCTCTACTCCCTCTACGATGCTTCTGAATGAGAATCTCTGTGTTTTATCTCCAAGCTAGTATAGAGGCCTCCATGGCACTTTCTACAGTTACCTGCTTCACCCAGATCTCACTCCCCTCTGTGTGCATCAAAAGGGCAGAAAAACCTGAGACAAATTGAAAGACCCTCGCTAACTTGCCAAGGCTAGAGATGGAGGTGAATCCTACCTGCAGCTGCAGAGCTTCACACAGAGGCAGGATGTGCCCTGCCATGGTGTCACATAAACTTATAAATTGAGACAAATGCTATACTCAAATGAGATTGATTTTATAAAGCAGTTAAAGCTCTGTCAACATTGATTGATTACAAATTCAAGATGTTAAGTGGAATTGCTAATAAACAGCTGGCTTAGAAATTCCTAAGTTTTCAAAGGGTAACCAAGAACGTGTAATCATTCACCCAATAAGGCGAGGGCTCTCTACCTCTAGGAGTTATCTTGGGCAGCCTCCCAACTAATGGGAGAGTCCCCTACTGCAGACCAGCTGCTCCAAGGAGGGACAATTCATCTGGCCCTCAGGTGGGGCTCCATGTATACCCTAGTTTAATCTCATCTGTGGTCAAATACAGTCACAGTAGTCCTCATAGGCTGAGGGTCTTATCTTCCACATGGCAACAGTGGGAAAATGGCCTGCACAGGATGAGTACATCTGCAGTCAGCGTTTGTTACGGTTCAGTGCTTGGAGGATTTCAATCGTTGCCACGTGACCACACAAATCTGTGCTTACCTTATTTCAAAGCACAATGGAAAGTGTGTGGTGCTCTCCGAGTACAAACCCATGCATGATCACAAAAGGAGCTGTTGCTGCTTTCTTGGGTGACCAGGGACAGAAAGGAAATAAAAAATTAAGAAATGGCAAGAATCATCCATAGGGGTTTTCTTAACAATATGCTCCTCACAAAGCTTCAGCAAATTCATGCTGAAGCTGAGGACAGAGATACGTTTCCCAAGGCAGAGAAAATATTTAGAGCACAGACCAGTGTCCAGCTGGTATATCGGAAATGTTTGAAAAACATCACTGTCACATCCTTCTGGTTTCATTGTGAGGTCTTGGCAATGTTGTTATTGTCTAAAATACTGCCTGTGTCCTAAGAAAGGAAAAGCCCTTTAGGGGCTTTTAGGAATTCCTTTGAGGAATGACAGTCCCCACTTCAGCCATTTTTAAAGGTGTTTCTTTTTTCAGTCCCCTGGACACTATTCCCAGATCAGACACCAAAAGCTGTTTTCCTTCATAGCTACATCCCCATGCTCTTTTCAGGTCTGCATCTCACTTCCTCGCCAGGCATCTTCCAGTAGCTTTTCCTCCTGGGTGTTCAAACAGTTTCTGACAGGTAAAAATACTGTGAGACCCAATCTGACAATGAAACTCTGCTGACCTGGGAGCACTCACCTCAACCAATGACACAGGAAATATTCAGGAAACAACCTATGAATCTGTTGTTGGTAATCTGGATCACACTTACAGGCTTAGCATTCCGTCTTCACGAAGATGGTACATTGGCTCTGATCCTTACCAGCCCCAGAAGCAAAGAAACATGATCAGCAATGTTCAAACAGATTTAATTAAACATATCAGCTGAGGGATGATCAGAAAGACTTGTCTTCGCTTGGGAGCCAGCCACCAGAAGCAAGAACTCCATGGAAGTTTTGCTCTGTTTGAAACCTGGCTGGAGCAGACATGGGAAATAGTTGCCAGTGACACCTGAATTGCAGTGAGTTCTGAGCAAAAGCATGATCTGAGAAAGAGCTGCCAGTGGATGGATGGAAGGGCAAAGAATCTAATCCTTGTATTTGCTGGCAGCTGAAAAGGCAGCAGACGTCTTCATAAAACAGCTTTCCCCCTCCTGAGTTGACACAGTGCTGTCAGCTCCAAAGGGCACAAACACCAATTGCACTGCCTGACATGCTTCAGCAGGGAGAAATGTTGCAGCCTGCATTTGGCAGGGTGATTTGCTGTCAGAGAATTTGATAGCCTTGGGGTGCAATTACCAAAAGCTCTGGTGCCTGCTGCATTCAATCTGTGTTTAGGTTCAGTCAATAGATGAGTACCCAAGGGGTATTGAGAGAGAGGCAGGAGGGCAACAAGGCAAGAAGAGCATGTGCCCACCATCCTGCCCCACACAGAGGGAGCAAAGTCAACACTGGGGTTTGGACTTAATGCAGTGGCCATGGAGCAGGCAGGGGAATTGGTGGGGTCAGGTTTGGCCCAGGTGGCTGCTAAGCCTCACCAGCTGCATGCAGGGCTGGGAGATAGGGGCTAAACAAAGACCATACGCAAAAAGGCTAGCCTGAAGGTGAAAGAGGAATAGGAGAGCAGAATGGGGGATGGCAACCTTCCAAGGGAAGGGGTTTTAATCTGGGGCTTTTGTTTTATTCAAAGGACTTTGATCCTCTGGTGGGAAACAGATAAGGGGATTGCAAGGTTTCCTGTGGGTGCTATGCATGTGGAGCAAGTTGTCATCCATAACAGCTGCTGGGCTTGACAGGTTTGGCACCTACTGCTCACCAAGACAGTGAAGAGGCTTGGAAGTGAAAGCTGGAGCTGTGCTTGCCTTAAACTGGGATATCACTGGGTTGTAACCACATGAGGCTTGTCAAAGCATCTCTATTTTAGGCTAGTCTGATACAGCTGATCCGCTAAAGTTCTATCAATTATCTTGGCCTTTTACAGGTGTAGAGAACTGCCAGGAAGATATGAAGACAATGCTGGTTTACTTCACTGTAAAGCTACAGTGAGACTTGGCTTTCTTTTGCATCTTGCAAAGGGGCCTCAGGATAGAGCTAATTCCACTCTGTCCTCTGTTTAAGTTCTCAGGTCTAGTATGCAAAATCCAGAGCTCATTTAAAAGCACACAGCAAATAACTTACCAGAGTATGTGTCAGATACTTTTTAACCTGAGAGTTTGGGAAATGTATGCAAAATCAAAATGAAAAAAAAATATCACATAATTCAGTTTGCTTGCTTATGAAACCTCAGTAGAATATTTTTCTCTGAAGTTTGTGCAGAGAAAACACACAGGAACAGCTGAGGAGCTTTTTTTTAGACTTCCTTTACTGAAAAAATCCTGCACTGATGAGTGATGTTACTAAATATAAAAGCAGATCTCTACAGTGGCCACATTAACAGATTGCTAAGTATTATGAGGCAAAAGTGTCTGTGCAGAACTGCAAAGAGCAGAAGATCCTGAAACTTTGGAATCAAATAGAGGTGACCAGCAGGACCTTGAGTCAGTAGTCACAGTACATGGATTCAGAGCCAGCACAATCTGGAAAAATAAAACAAACACTGCAGTATTTTGGAAGGGGAAGGCTGGCAAGCATAGCTTTACCTGGGCAAGATGAAATGCACCAGATGGGAAGATCCTGAGAGGGACAGAACTCAAAGGTGGGAAATTAAGCCTCATGGTCTTTGGCAGTCAACCAGGAAGTTGAGAAAACTCAGTTAAAACTCTATGACAGCAGCAGTCACTTTCCCCCACACATGCACACCCTGAAGTCGTGCCCCAAGCTGATGTAGCAGTGTGCAGAGATGCAAGGGACCAGATTTGATGGACCAGAAGCTGTGTGTTGCTCACAGAACTTGCTGGGAGATAGGGGGGGCAGCCATCCCTCTCCTCCTTGGCAATGGAAAGATTCTTCCTAAAAGGAGCTTTGCTCACTGAGATACAATGAGAAAGTCGGACTCCAAAAGAGAGAGTCATGGAAGAGATTTTTGTTTTTCTTTCAAAGACTTAGGCCATCCACCCAAGTTGCCAGCAGTTAGGGAGAAAGATCCTTGAGCAGCTGACTCTGGTTCCTGGCAGGGCAAGCTGTTGGTTTAAAGGAGCCAGATTTGTCTTAAAACTTCTGAAAGGGATAGAAGTGGGTGAATGGCTGCTCCTACTGTTGGCCATTATCTCAGCTGACTTTCTCAGTAAAGATAGGGTGATATTTATCCTGAAAGCTAACCTGTCCTGAGAATGAAAACAGGAGAGTTGCAGAACTGGGGTGGCCATGAAAGTTCACGAATGAGCAAAACATCAATCAGCAAGGAAGGTACCTGAGTCAGGTATCCAAAACAAGGGATCTGGAAAGGGAGGATGAGTGGAGCATTGTCCATTGCACCCTGGTGGGCATCCAAGGAGATAGTCAGCTTTGTCCAGCATGGCTTTGCCCAACAGTAGTGAAAGCAAAGTCACCAGAGTCACTGGGATGGACTCTCTACTCCCCTGAATCCACCTTGCATCGATTTCCTCCCTTTTCTGTGAGTTGAGGGCAAGGAACTCAGAATTACCATGGAGACTGTGGAGACCAAATCAAGAAGAAGGCAGAACAAACTTAGAGAAGTTATTAACATGCAGATCAATGCAGATAAGTCAGGGGGCAAGGGGAATCTGAGTTTAATTCGTTTAACAGAGTGGAGATGCTAGAACTAGATCTGACAAGAATTTTAACAGAGATAATGCCTATGTGAGCGTTATGTGTGTGCTTCAAAATGGCATCGGGGACAGTGAAAGAATATATATCCCTGTGGGCTATAACATTTGCTAAAATAAGTTTTCTCAAAACCTTTAAGTGGCCACTCCTGCACACACATGCACTTTCCCAGCCCATCCAGCACCCCAGCTCACATCATTGGAAAATTACCCAGCAGATTTTTTAGGAGGAAGGTTTATTGTGACTACTTTCACTTAAGAGCACTTAAGCTGCATTTATTTGCCAAGTAATGTTAACTTCCTGGGTTTTATGTGAAAGAGTTTTTATTTGAAAGGCTAGCTACAAAAGTAGATTCCCCAGTCTCCCTTCTCAGTAGCCCAAGCAATACAGCACTCCAAATCTGTCATAGACTGAGGTGGGGTTATTTTTATTGAAAACCTGTTGTTAAAATATTGGCAGCACAAGGCTGCTTTAACATCACTGATTCCAAACAAAAGGAGACACAGAAATGAGAAGATTAAAGGACTAAAACCAGAAACATATTTTGATTTACCAGAGAATACAGGATATGCAAGAGTTGTGTTTGTGGAGGATTGGCAGGATGAGGATTTGCAGAACTAGGAGCAGCTGTCATAGCAACCGCATCCTGGCAGAGAACCCATGTCAAGTCAGACATCACCTGGAAGGAAATTTCCCTGCTCAGAGGAACATTGTTATAGAAGGAAAACTTTGGAAACTGTTGGTTACATCACTTTCATAAATCCTGAATGATGCAGTAGAAGAAGTCCCTACCAGAAGGCAGTGGTGCTTCATGAGAAGTGAATAGTTTGAGACAGAAACCTGGGTCACATGCCTGGTTCTGTCTTTGACTTGCACAGACAGCTCTCAGCAAGACTTCATAGCTCCCAAATGAGGAGACCCATTAACCACCTTTGCAAAGTCCACTGAGAACTTCCAATGGAAAGATGCCATATATGGTGACATAAGCACCAGGAAAGATGCTCAAGCTTCTATAACTTCCAGTTTTCTAGAAGATGCATACACAGACGTATATTCAGCAGGCTCCTTTGCATCTCTTGATGGGTAGCTTTTGCACAGTCCCACAGTGTAGCAATGCTAACAGCTGCTCAGCAATGACTGCAAAGTGGGGTGCCTTGCTACACATCCTCTTTTATATGTTTAATGGCATAGGGCATCTCCAGAGCTCCAGCAGACCTGCTTTCAGTATGAAGTGCCTGGGCTAAGTGAGACAGAAGGAAAACAGTAAGATGGATGCCACTCCCCAGCACCCATCTGCACCAAACCCACTACAGTCCCACACCCTGGAAGAGAATAGGGCAGGAGCTGGGTGGCTCTGGTGACACATGCTGTTGTGAAGCTTTCCTCATGGCAAGAGAGGCTGGCATTGTGCTCACCACATGGGAGACAGCACCTGCTGGGTATGCCTGGCTACCCTGGGAACAAAACCAGCCCCAAATCAGCCTGTGTCTGTAGCTTCAGCCATCCATGGTCTCACATTTGTGTACACTGCCCTGGCTATGCCTGGCTAGTGGTGTGTAGATCCTGATACTGCTGTGGGTTGTATCAGCCTGGCTCACTTTGAATTTGCATGCTCTGGTCCTCTTGCAATGCCAAACAACAAATAAGTATCTGAATGGTGATTTCTCCAGGCTACATTATCTCACTTCCCAGAGTGCACGTACCCGAGGCCATGATTCACTATTCAGGGATGTCTTAGTATTGTTCATTTAGTGTCTGTAATTTAGTATAACTGAGTGTATAATATATATTCTTATGAGAAATCTGGTTGCTTCCCTTTAAGTTCAGCCCTTTCACACTGAGAACAAAAATGTTGTCATTGTGCTGAATAAGTGGGCACTTTGTCACCAGCAGTAACACTGTGGAAGGCAGTTCAATTTTCTTCTTGCCTCCCTCAGGTTCCTCCTCCATTGCTAAAGCTCCCCAGTGTGTCCCTTCATCATGTTCAGCTATTTTAAGATGCCCCTTCTTCACAGGCAATTGATCAACAAAACAAACAAAGCTATGGAGTCTCCCAGTGTTACAGAGATTTTTGGATGGTTAGTCCTGATTTCAGATGACATTTGAGAATTCCTTAACTTTTTTCCATTAGGCATGACTCACAAGACAAAGCCTATGTAATCCAAAGCCTCCTTAAACCTCAAGTTCTGTCAGGTCCCAGAAAAGAAACATCTGCAGACCTAAGGGGTAATAATTCTATGGGACCCATCATCCTGAAGCCAGCTCTAATATACTGCACACAAAGTGCAGGTTTCTACTAGATTCTGGTTTTAATATTGGCAAAGTTAACCACGACATCCTTGAAATGCAGTAGCATGTTTAACATGTTTTCAGCAATTTTCTCTTTCCCTTGTATTAATTTTCAATACAGCAGGTGCTAAGAAGCCAAGAGATAAAATGGAACACTGACAGTGTGGGAAAGTCATATGATATCCTTCAGCTGCTTGAGGTGACATTGTTTTCATACAAAACAAATTGCTTATCACAGACCCCATTACTCAGGATACAGTAAACAGTTTCTACAATGTATTCCTCTGAGGCACAAAAAGAATCTTTAGGACATCTGTCAGCCTCATTTGATTTTCTGGGGAAACCTTTTTTATGCAAATAAGATTAACTTCATGGAACATAATGAGCAATATAAACGGGTTTCTTTTTCCTTTTTTAACTCATGAAGAAAACATAGGTGGCTGTAGATGCTGGTGGGGATTCAGATGATTGAATTAGTAATGAGGTTGGTGAGGGGTAAACAGATGCAAAGCTAGAGGTAAGCAGACTGGGAAAAAAATAGTATTGATATGGAAAACAATATTTCCGTATTTGGAGGAAGATCTCTTTTTGCATTATCCTGAAGATCGGGTGATACTCAGGGAAGTTAGAATGGCATTCAGGGTCCAAGTCCATTGCCTTAATGGCTTAGCTGTTGGCATTGTCAGAAATGCTGTCCAAGTTGTACAGAAAAGTTCTCAATCACGTCTTTTTAAATGCTCATCTCATATGTGCCATGGTTCAACAGTCTGCAGTCATCAGGTGCCAGGTACTTGGCCTCTCTTCAAGCCCATGATGTAAAGGAGAAAAAAAAAATCTCTATTTACCACTGTTCCGGACATCTGTCCCCAGCCACAGTGTTACAGCTAGTTAAAGCATCATCACAAGGTGATCACAAGGAAGCAATACCTGTGCTACCTAAACCACTGGACATCTTAAAACCACCTGGCCCAGAAGCTAGGTTATGAATTGTTGTATACCCTGAGCAATGCATTTAAGGACTGTCAGTGCCTTCACTCTGCATTGCTATGACAGGAAATAAATGTTCAGATTGACTGAAATGGCTCCAAGCAGCTCAGAACATTTAATAATTGTGCTCAGGCAGCTCTGAATAGTTCTCCTGTCTTAGAGGCAATGAAAAAGGAACAGCGTGCTTTGCTGCTAAGTACATTCACTTGGCTGTTGAAATCATCTGTCTGAACAAGGCTCAGGCAGCAATGTTTCCTAATTATGAAGGCCAGTGAAGTACCCTGCACTGAGTGCAGCATTCACAGAAGTTTTACTGTGGCTCCCAAAGGGAACTGCATAAAAACTAGACTGCTGAGTCTTTTGTGAAAAGAAATTGCCTATTTCAAAAATACAGTCCTGAAATGTCTCTGTATGGAGTGAGAGCATTTGCACCAGTGAATGTGATGGCTTACACCAAGAAGATCAATATCTTATAAGAGTAAAATTAGAGGGGGGAGGGAAAAAGGGAGAATTGTGAGGCTTAATGAGACTTAATTAGACCTCAATTTTGCTAACATTGCATAAGCTGGAGACAAAACCAGCTCCATTGCCTGGAACAGAAGTTGCTGAAAAAACAAGCAGCAGCAATCTTTTACTTACGTACATGAGCCTTCTGATGCAGTTATCAATTATTCAATACTAATTATTTTCATTCAAATGTGTTATCAATATTGCTTAAAAACAAGTTTTCAACTTATTTTATTTGCAGATCCCTATAATTTTTCAGCAGTTTCTATGTAGTCATCTGTTAGGTTTCTCTGACTGCTTTTTTGATACCTGCAAGTTAAGCATAGCTACATTGCAGACTGCAGGTCACACAAAATCAGGTGTGCTTCAGTGATCTGACACAACTAGCTAAAATCTCTTTCAGATTCCACTTGAGAGACAGACTGGCCCCAAAACCTGCCCTATAATTCACATTCCTTGATGTTGGCAGTATGTGCAGGTGGAACAACCTAAAGACTGAGAGGCGTTGAAACAGCTCACCAGTTCATGATGAATCCAGAGTCACTCTTCAGAGATGAATTCCACTTCTACACACATTGACAACAAATGCAGGTTTCTTAATATTTCATTGCAGTTCTAAACATTTAGGTCCTCTTTGAAATGTCACTGTATATCTGGGCATGGCTGTCTTTATTTTCTACATGCTACTTGTAAAAAGTCAACTTCTTCCCTCTTACCACAGACAGGTCTGTCGCCTGTGGTATAACTTCTGGTACAGTTGCCTCCAGGACCTGGAAAAGAAAATTAGTGATGGCTAACTACCACATTAACATTGTTGAATGATCTGCAAGTGAGTAAGATGTAACAACAAACTTGGAAATGAAACAATTTGCTGTGGTGTACTGTGGTATCTTTTCGTAACAGATTCTCCTGAAATGAGTACTCTAATCAGTTAATAAGAAACAGCTTGAAAACTTCCAGAAGTGACAGCTGTACTCTGCAGCAGCAAGTTGTAGCAAAGAGTTGGAAAGTGTGATATGGAGAACAGCAGCAGATATCTCTCACACAACAGGCTTTTGAAAAGAGACAAGGTCAGGGACTTCCTGTGGTGGCTGTAAGGTGCACAGAGTTGCTGAAGTCAACATGGAAGAGCACGGTGAAACAGATTCTGTGGAAAGGAGTTCTGATTTTAGCCAGAGAGATATGTGTAGTAATGCACTCAATCTTCTTAATTCATGTGTGCACCATAATTAGGTATTAATCCCAGAAGTAAAGAAAACAAATTACATGTTGACAGCTACTAAAAACAAATATCTCACACTTCAATTCTTAATATGGCTTCTGAGCTCCAGGCAAGAAGTATTTCATCATTTCAAATGTATTGTCCTAATTGTAGCTTGTGTTTTAACTGAGATTTCCCTTATCTATTTCCCTACCAAATGATACTACAATTCAATAAAAGAAAACCCTTTACTAACCCTTTTTCTTCCTATATAAAGTGGAGTTATTTCACTTTAGGAGAGGACCCAGGGGCTCTGCTGATACACTGGGAAATATGTCCCCTATGTGCTGTACAAACAGGAAGTTTACTGATATTTTTAGATAAATAAGATGCAGGAGAATAACCCATGAAGAGTTACCAAACCACACTGAATCATAGGTGTGGAGCATCTGCTACCACCCTGTAGTGGAGTCCATTGTAAACCCCCAGTATAAGGCTACATTTCTACTTTCTGTTCTTTTTCCATTCCATCTGGCAGTAGAAAGAGTCTCTTCGGACCCACCTGGCCTAGCAATATCAGCTAAGAAACGCAGCTTTACATCATATAACAGATTTTACTTTATATCCTTTGAAACATTCATTATGTTAGTTAATCCACTTTCAGTTTCCTTCCTCTGGAACAGGCAAGATAAGGACACAGAGCTGGCTTGCTTCAAAAAATAGGTGTTTTACTATCCAGATCCAGCAGCTTGTTTGCCTGTAAAATAAATGCAAAACTTTTTTTTTTTTAAGTTTCTGATCTTTGAAGACATAACTCCTAAATAAACACTAATTGACGGTATTAAGTGCCGTATAGATTTTGTATTTGTAGTATCTTGTTTCAGTTAATTCTCAGATGACAAGGAACATTTAGATGAGTACAAAGCCAAGAAAGATATAGGGATTTTTGTGCTTGCAAAATGTATTTTGTGCATGTGTGTGTATTTTGTTCACAGGAAAAAATAAGATAGACAGTTTACCAGAACATAATACAAAGCCAGATATAAAATAGTTATGGCATTTTGCCCATTGTTTCTGTGCCTAAGTTAAGCCAGTGGATTACTTGCCATTGGCTCCTATAGTTTTTGGATCAGGGTCATTGCGTTTGGTCCAAGCCCATTGAAATGATTGGAATCCTTAACAGAAAACAAAGTACTCACATGAAATATTTGCTTTCTCTTTAGCAAATACCATGCTTTCAAAAGCCCAAGGTTTTGAAAAGTGGTCACATCTGGCAGAGGTTTAGGGAACAGAATAAAACCATTGGGCTGAGGGGCAGAGGAGTTTGCACAAAACCACCCGTGCAGGAGTCCTCTGTAGGAAGCTGCTGTCCATTACTTGATGAAGCATTCAGTTCTTTGGTGACAGGCTGGAGCAAAAGTTCTTTGCAAAGTGACCCTCTGCGCAGCCCAACAACCTTTCTTTATTAAGTGTACTTCAATATTGATTTTGCTGGCTGGTGTGAAGAAAGTCAAAACTACCTTTAGCTCCTGAGAATCAAGAAAGGATGAAGACATTTACGTATGCAGGAGGGCTGCATGCAGTTTTCAAAAGCACATGGATCACCTTGGTTGTTGCCATTGTCTTTACCTCTGATGGTGGAGCTGAAACTTGCTTGGTGCAGGGGTCTCACAGGACCTGTACTGCAGGAGCTGTACATGAGCATTTCCTTCTGACCCAGGTGGAACTGCATCTGAGATGGACTAGAAAGATGGGGTCACTCTTTATCTTTAATATGTTCTCTTGGGAACTCAGGCAGTGGCTTCCATGCGTGTCCTGTAAGAAAAATATCTGGAAAGTTACCTGAGTGGTTACAGATTCACAGACTCACTCCTTGGGCTTCTAAGTCTTGCTGCAGACAGGGACTAACAGCTGCTTTCCATGGTGACAGCAAACTTTCCTCCCATCTCTATGGATGGTGTGAGGCAAAAGCTTTCTGTCTGCTGATGTAGAGCTGTATTTGCTTTTGGCTTCAGGTAAGAGGCAGCTTTTCTGTGCTCTATCATTGCTCTACCATTCCCACTCTGACAAGCCAAACTGTTTCATAACCACTGGGGTGACAGTCATGCATGAGGCATGTTCAGATATGATCATACTTCTAGTGATGCTCAGTATGGTCCATAGTGCCTGTTGAGGACCACAAGATATCCCTATGTGATGGAGGATGCTTAAAGCAGTGTAACATATAGATTGCATAGTTCATTCACTCTTAGGTACTCAGGAAAGCAGGCAACAATAAGCTGGGCCCTGGTGATGTAGATAATGAAGCTGTGTCACATGTTCCATTCTGATTATAGTTTTCCTTGTGATAGCTTAATTTAATATACGTGGCATAACATAGTGTCATGGTTTAAACCCCGTCAGGTAACTTGTTCACTCACTCCCAGTGAGTGGTGCCGAGCTGACAACAATCGAGGTCCGTGTCCGTCTCCCCCACCCCCGCACCGGGGCTCTCCCCTTCCCCACTCCCGGAGGAACGGGGAGGAGGATCGAGAGAGTGCAACTCCTACGGGTTGAGACAAGAACAGTCCAGCAACCAATGTACAACACAAATCACCACCGCTACTATCAGCTAAAACAATGATAAGGGAAAATAACAAGGGAAGAGAATACGATACCACCGGCCAAGAAAACGAGTTCCACCCGGAAGCCCCTGTCCTTCCGGGTAACTCCCAGTCACCCCCCACCCCAGCCATGACGTGCTGTGGTATGGAATACCTTCCCGGCTAGCCCGGGTCAGGCGCCCCGTCTCTGCTTCCTCACAGCTTCCCCTCCTCCCTGGCAGAGCATGAGCCTCACAGAGTCCTTGGTCAGGGTAAACATCACTTAGCAACAACCGAAAACATCGGCTTCACCAACACTGTTCTCAGGCTGGAAGTCAAAACACAGCACTGCACCAGTTAACACAAAGGAAAAACATGACTGCTACTGCTGAACCCAGGACACATAGAATACCCCTAACATACTGATGTTCTTAGCAAATACTGCTAGCAGACTAAAAGGTCGTAAAATTGTCCATGAAAAGAGCCAGAGTCTGTCTTTACTTGGCTAAAATATCTACATAAATTTCAATGAACATTCTGTTTCTTGGTGAGGAACATGAAACATGGTCACCTATTTATATGTCATCTATTAACCATCCTTCTTACCACTAAGAGAACTGAACTTAAAACTTTTTCCAAAATGTCATTTTCTCTGATCCCTCATTATTTAAATAATAATAATTAAAACACTTAATACTCGAAAGCATATATTTAAAATCCCGTCTGCTTAAGGGATTACACTAAAATGTCACTTCTAAAAAAAGACATATCTAATTTCACCATTGTCTCTCTGAAAGGTTAAGTATGTAGAGTAGAATTAATGCTTATGTTCATGTACAGATTATTTGTCATGCCGTTCAGTTTGACATTTTTCGTAGACTATTTGAAACTCTAGAATGACAGATAAATTGCAGTTGCAACTGATTTCTGAATTTTCTATCAAGTAAAAAAGAAATAAAGAGGTTAAATCACCTCAGGAGCTATCTAAATCTCATTTCAAAACATTTTTAAAGTTTTTTTTTTCATATACACATATTTGCATTTTGGGGAGGGAGCAAACTCTACAGCAGGCAATGAAAATCTGACTAATTTGTTAACATGTAGGTCTTGGAAAGTAATGACTTTTGTTTTTTTTTTGGTTTTTATTTTACAGAAAGAGCATAATGCCCTCTCAAACTCCAGACAGGGCCTTCACAAGCCTCATATTTATGCAGAAAAGCTTCTCCCTGACTTAATGCTTGAATGGTAGTATTTGCATTTTCCCTCTCAATAAATACTGTGTTAACGCTCAGGCCAAGAGTCTTGGCACTGTACACGGTGCTACACAGGCAAAGAAAGTCTCCAGCTCTCTGGGGTTTGGGTGGGAGAATTTCAACATGTGTTCTCCTGAAGTCATTCCCAAGACCAAATTTATGTAAATAAGATACTGCATCAAATTCTTTGACCTTGACTTGCCTCAGTCAAATTTATGTCTGAAGTAAATTTCCGACTTCCAGTGCTCAGGTTTTTTTTGCTACTCTTTGTATTTCTAGATTTGTTGTTGACTGCTTTTTTGTTTTTTTTTCTGTATTTAGCCATGCTAAGCAAACATTAGCCACACAAAGGCATCAGTAAGTATCCCAACACCTTATTTCCACTGGTAGTTGCATATAGCTAGATATCATTTCAGTGACTGCTAGCAGTTAGCACACATTTATCAAGAACAAACTATGCCTGACCCACCCGTTGGTTTTCCATGGTAAAATGACTGGATTTGTGACTGTGGGAAGAGCAGTGGTTGTCCTTGTGATTGTATCACAGTATCACAGTATGCTAGAGATTGGAAGGGACCTCAAAAGATCATCTAGTCCAATCCCCCTGCCGAGCAGGAACACCTAGATAATGTTACACAGGAATGTGTCCAGGCGGGTTTTGAATGACTCCAGGGAAGGAGACTCCACAACCTCCCTGGGCAGCCTGTTCCAGTGTTCCGTCACCCTCACTGAGAAGAAGTTTCTTCTCAAGTTTAAGTGGAACCTCTTGTGTTCCAGTTTGTACCCATTACCCCTTGTCCTATCATTGTTTGCCACTGAGTAGAGCCTGGCTCCATCCTCGTGACACTCCCCCTTTATATATTTATATACACTAATAAGGTCACCCCTCAGTCTCCTCTTCTCCAAACTATAGAGACCCAGCTCCCTCAGTCTTTCCTCATAAGGGAGATGCTCCACTCCCTTAATCATCTTAGTTGCCCTGTGCTGGACTCTCTCCAGCAGCTCCCTGTCCTTCTTGAACTGAGGGGCCCAGAACTGGACACAATATTCCAGATGGGGTCTCACCAGGGCAGAGTAGAGGGGAAGGAGGACCTCTCTCGACCTACTAACCACCGCCCTTCTAATACACCCCAGGATGCCATTGGCCTTCTTAGCCACAAGGGCACAGTGTTGGCTCATGGTCATCCTGTCGTCCACTAGGACCCCCAGGTCCCTCTCCCCTACACTGCTCTCTAACAGGTCGTTTCCCAACCTATACTGGAACCTGGGGTTGTTCCTGCCCAGATGCAGGACTCTACACTTTCCCTTGTTATATTTCATCCAGTTATTCCCTGCCCAACTCTCCAGCCTGTCCAGGTCTCACTGGATGGCAGCACAGCCTTCTGGCGTGTCACCCACTCCTCCCAGCTTAGTGTCATCAGCAAACTTGCTGATAGTACACTCAATTCCCTCATCTAAGTCATTGATGAATATATTAAATAATACCGGTACCAGTACTGACCCTTGAGGCACTCCACTAGTTACAGGCCTCCAACTAGACTCCGCCCCATAGACTACAACTCTCTGGCTTCTCTCCTTCAGCCAGTTCGCAGTCCACCTCACTACCTGATCATCCAGTCCACACTTCCTCAATTTAGCCGTGAGGATGCTGTGGGAGACTGTGTCAAATGCTTTGCTGAAGTCAAGGTAGACCACATCCACCGCTCTGCCATCATCCATGCACCGTGTTATTTCCTCATAAAAGGCTAAGAGATTGGTCAAACATGATTTCCCCCTGGTGAAGCCATGTTGACTGCCCCTCATAACCCTCTTATCCTTGATATGCCTTAAGATGGCACCAAGGACAAGGTGTTCCATCATTTTCCCAGGGATGGAGGTGAGGCTGACCGGTCTATAGTTACCCGGGTCCTCCTTCTTGCCCTTTTTGAAGACTGGAGTGACATTCGCTTTCCTCCAGTCCTCAGGCACCTCTCCCGTCTCCCAAGACTTGGTAAAGATGATGGAGAGTGGTCTAGCAATGACTTCCGCCAGTTCCCTCAGCACCCGCGGGTGCATCCCATCTGGACCCATGGATTTATGGATGTCCAGATTGCTCAACTGATCTCTAATCCATTCCTCATCGACTAAGGCAAATCGCTCCGTCGACCTGACTTCATCTAAGGTCTCAGGGGTACAGAGCTCTTCAGGACTGCCTGCAGCAGAGTAGACAGAGACAAAGAAGGCATTCAGTAACTCTGCCATCTCTGCATCTTCTGTCACCAGGGCACCCATCCCGTTCATCAGTGGGCCTACATTGCCTCTGGTGTTAGTTTTGTCTGCCATATATTTGAAAAAGCTCTTTCTGCTGTCCTTGACCCTTCTTGCCAGGTTTAATTCTAAGGATGCCTTAGTCCTCCTAGCTGCCTTCCTACATCCTCTAGCAGCAGCCTTATATTCCTCCCAAGTGGCCAGCCCCTCCTTCCATGACCTGTAAACTCTCCTCTTCCACTTGAGCATACCCAGCAATTCCCTATTTAGCCACACAGGTCTCTTGGCCCTCTTCCTTGACTTCCTACGTGTCGGGATGCTCTGATCTTGAGCACGGAAAAAGCAGTCCTTGAATATCAACCAACTATCTTGGGCCCCTTTACCTTCAAGCAGCCTTGCCCGTGGGATTTCCCCTAGCAATTGCTTGAAAAGGCCAAAGTTTGCCCTGCTAAAGTCCAGGGTTGCAATTCTACTTGGTATTCTACTAGTCCTACCACACAAGATCCTGAACTTCACCATCTCGTGGTTGCTGCAACCAAGGCAGCCCTCAACCCTTACTGCTTTGACCAGACCCTCCTTGTTAGTGAGGATGAGATCCAGCAGCGCTCCTCTCCTGGTCGGCTCATCCACCATTTGCAGGAGGAAGTTATCATCCATACACTGGAGGAACCTCCTGGACTGCGGCTGGGTTGCCGAGTGGCCCTTCCAGCAAACATCAGGGAAGTTAAAATCCCCCACGATGACCACGGCCTGTGACTGTGAGGCCGCTCTCAGCTGCCTGTAGAAGGCCTCGTCAACTTCCTCACCCTGATCCGGTGGTCTGTAGCAGACACCTACAACAGTAGGCTTTTTGCACAGGCTCCTATGGGTTTTTTGTGCTCAGGCTGGGACTTTATGGCCTGGATGGGTAGGCAAAGAGATGGGTAAAAGCCTGGCAGAGGCTCAGAGGATCATGGCTCCTGGCCAGCCCCTGCCGGGGTGCCTGTAGTGAGCAGGGTATCGCAGATCTATCCTGGAACCTGTCCTGTTCAATGGCTTTATCAATGACCCAGAAGGGCTGGAGAAGTGTGCTCTCATCAAGTTTGCAGATGACACCAAGCTGGGGGGCACCAGTCAATGTACTGAGGGGCAGGAATGCCATTCAGAGGGTTTGAGACAGGCTGGAAGAATGGACAGCAGGAACTTTATGACAAATGCCAAGTTCCACACCTGAATTAGCCTGTGGTCCTAAGATATCTTCTGATAATGAACAGTAGTCTGTCACCATACAATTTATTTCTATGCAACTCCTGTGTTAGCTAAGTGTGACAGGCAAAACTTTCTGCTTCCAGAGTATTTGTTGGAAGTGAACTGTGACCTCTGACATCTGTGAGCTCCAGAACACAAGGTGGTCTGTAACTTAGAAGTGTCTAACCACCCAAAGAGTGAGATTTTGGAATAAATTTCCCATTGTACTTGTCAGAGGAAAACTGCTTAAATGGTTTCAAAATACAGCTTGACAAATATATGAACAAGATTATGTGGTATGATTGCCAGCAATGGGAACGACAGAATTCAGTGACCTAGGAGCCTGTGCAAGTTCATGCCTTTTGTTTTGATAAATGCAAGGCCAAGCTCCTCATCTTCAAGAATAAATAAATGGAAAATTAAATATAGTAAATATTGTAAATATTTCATTGACACTTCATTGTGTGCAATTGAAAGCAATATTTTACCCGTTTCGAAGTTATTAGAGTTTGCAACTGTGAAGCTTGATAACCATGATAATAAATGGTATTTATATTCTAGTGCAAAATGGGTATCAGAACCAAAATGCACAAAATACGGACAAATCTAATTAAGCTGCAATTGGTTTATTCATATGAGAGCAGCTGAAGGCTATATGATAAACAGCTACAAAGCAGGTGCAGCATATATCATTGGCTCGTTTATTAAAAATTGACACTTTATTAAAGCCCAAATTAAAAAAAGATTGTTTACAAAATCAGAGAGTCAGTCATGCTGTAATTGTACCGCATTGTAACAAAAACCTAATTTACTTCATGAAGTAATTGCATAGTTCCAGTTTATCATGATAAATCAAGCCCAAACCTGAGCGCAGGAAGAGCTAAAAAAGTGAAAATGTTGTCCATGGTGCATAGCCCAGGATGTAATCTGAGGAGGGTCAAATTTAGAATAGTAACACTCATATTTCTATAGCCAAGTCACTGAAATTTTGTATAGCAAAACTGCAGTTTCAGTGGAGGGAAAGGCATATTCCCACATCAGCATACTGTACAAAGGCAGCATTTTTCTATTGAGATATCTGCCAAAGTTCTTACTGAAACCATGGGGAACCACAGCCAAAGCTGTGTTTTCATCTCCTTCAGTTTTAATAAAGCAGCAATCCACAAAACTAACAGGCATATTAATATTTACTGTGAGGGTATATGGAATGCCACTGACCTCCTGCAGCAGGTTTGGGTACGTTCCTCAGTGCTCACAAGAAGGGATGAGACCTGAAAGCTGAAGGCAGAAGAGCTCCATGTTCCACTGCTGCTGGTGCCACTGGAAAAGCGTGCAGGAGGGAAAGTCCCCAGGGGATGATTGGTGTGCTTCTCAGAAGTGCAGTTGGATGTGATAGGGCTATTATGGGAGGGGTAAGGTACAATTTTATTTTCACTGCACAGCAGCATAAAGCAAATAAATAGTGCTTAACCTATAATGAAACTTCATAAAATTCAGTTCAGCAGTATCAGGATTAATCACTGCAAGCTGACATTGCTATTTCCTACATACCTCCAAAAAGCCGCCCAGCATAAGTTACAAAGCAACTGAACGATTTCAGAGTTGCAACAGCTACAAATGTTAATAACCAGCAGAACTGCAACGAGAACATAGGCTGCAACTTAGAAATACACAACAGAAATATATTGGGAAAACAAGAGCAGAAAAACAGGTCTGAAAGGGAATAATGTTAACTAATGTCGTGATTGAAAACCCTGTGCAAGTTCCCATGCTCTAACCTCCCACTGTTTTTGTTAAAGAAAACAGAAGATTGTTTTGCAGTTTTGTGTAGTTTTGCAGTATCTTGTGCAGTTTTACAGTATCTTGTGCAGGGAAAACTGCCTGGTAGGTATGTAATAAATGTCCGTGCTATTAAGAAAGTAAGGGCTTGTTTTAGTCGCTTAAACCATGGCATGCAGTGATGTGTGAAATTCCTAGTCCACAGCAGTCAGGACAGAATGGGGAAAACCTCATTGAAGTCCTGCAGGACATCTGACAGCACCAGGCAAAAATGTGGCACATGTCAGAATGCCTCTAGTGGCAATAGATGTCTGTCCTCAGGCAGTGTAACTGAACCCTAAATGTATGTGGTTTACAGGGAAAAAGGATGCAGCATGGTTGTAAAAGTCATGGTTATTTCCAAGGATTTTTCCAATGGGGATCTGGGAAGGAACTTCTTAATCCATTGACATGACCACGTGTTGCAAGTATTGATCAAGGAAATATTTATTTACAGGGATTTTTCAAATACAAACATAAAATAGCACATATAATATATATATATATTTTACAAAAATGAATATGGAAATAATAAACATGGTACAGCACAATACAACATCAATGAGCTAAACATAACTGCAACAGAAATCTATGTCTGGAAGAAGTTTCCTGTTAGTTGTATATAACCAACAGAGCTCTACAGTACCGTGAGTGGAATTTCCAATGGACGGAAAAACGTCCATTTACTTCACTCCCTAAAAGTACTATAGGGAAACGCTACATATGCCAAGTGATTATGTTGCATTTTTGTAATAATGCTGAAAACACAGGCTTAGTAAAAGTTATATAGGGCTGAATAAGCAATGGCTAAATGTTTGGGGAGAAAAAATGCGTAGAGAATATACAAAATACTGATAAAGTGGCTTACTGGTCCTTTTATTAAGTTTTATGTACAGATTAAAAAGTGTTGCAACACTGAATTTTAAACCACCAGAGAGAAGTGTAAAAAAAAAAATAAAAAATGGAAAAGAAAGGAGAATCACACCAAAAGATCCTCTCTGCTCATTTTGTGCCATGGTCAATGTCTGTGCGTGCATGTGTGCTTTTGGGAGCGCCGCACCAAGGGGCTGATACCCCAGCCTCTGGGCACCGCCATCCCACCTCTCAATTAATTGGTGCACGCAGGATTTCACCATTTACCAAAGCGGAGTTTTCCTTGCAGAGCAAACCACAAGCATGGGTGAGAAAGCCCATCCCTGTCCAGCCCGGATGGGTGGCTCTGCAGTGCCAGTAACCTCCCTGCCCTCCCTGGGGCCACCCGCCACCCTGCCCATACCCACTCCAGAGAGAAAGCACTTGAAAACGTCTTGTCCACTGTGGTTATCCAGAGGAGTCAGCAAGCCCCTGTGGCGCCTGGTAGCGCCTGCGGCTGGGGCTGCTCAGTAGGGGTACTGCTTCTGCTTCTTACCCGAGAAGCAGGCCAGCCAGGTGCACACCAGCATGGCTGCCGCCGCACCACCACCCGTGCAGTAGTAGGCCCAGCCGATGTGGCAGGTCCCTGCAAGGGAAACACAGCAACATGGCACAGTGTTAGCCAGGGGAGGAAGTACCACCACCACCCTCCTTGATGCCCACCCAGCGGAAAACACTTGTCTAGGTTTCTGCTCGCTTGTATGTCCACCTCAGACAAGGAATGCAGGGTATAATTCAAGCAATTAGAGAAGCCAAGCTCGTTAAATGGCTCCCCTTAATTTGTTATATACTGGTTAAGCAGACAGGCCTCTGGGATGACTTCCTTGGCCAGTTACCATTTCCACAAGGGGGGAATGACATTTGAGAGCCAAAGCTGAGGCTGCTGGCTCAGCCATGGGACAGGCAGGGCTCAGCTATGGGCAGGCATCCCTCTGCCCGCCTGGCCCAGGGAGCACCCATGGCACTGCTCTCCACAGTGGCTGTGGTCTAAACTGGATTTTCCCCACACTTCTCTTTCTTCCCCTCCTCCAGGCAGTATTTGAGCATATTTTAATTATTTTTGACTGAGATTTTGAGGGTTTGCAGGTAACTTGGGCCAGGACCTGCTCCCTTCACAAAGAGCTAAGTAGGCCCAGCTCCACCACTGCAGTGACAGGGCTCGAAACCAGATCTGGCTGCAAGCTGCTAGAAAACAATAATCCAGGTCATAGCTGTGACGAACATGTCTCCCTCAAATAGGCACCAACCCTGAACATCCACAAAGCAGTGTGGTGGCAAGGGACCACCTGCATGGTGGCTGCTGTGGGAACAGAGTCCAGAAATATGAAAATACAGAAATTTTCCTAACCCCACCAAGGTCATAACTCATTACTGAAAACTTCACTGATCTTTTGTCTAATGTGTTTAACAGTGTCACATTATGCCTTGAATATATTTAATGGCCTCAGTATCTTTTATTGGTATGAGCCAAATTCATCACTAGTGAATGGTCCTGGGGATTCCCATGGTAGACCATGAAGTGATTGTTCCCCTTACAGGCACCACTGTGCCTTAAGTACAGGAGGAGATCAGGAAAACAGCAGCTGCAGTAGGGAGGAAGCTTCCTCCCAGAGATCTCCAAAAGCAGGGAGATGGCTGCTGTTAATCCTCAGGGTTTCAGCCTATCTCAAAAATAATTTTCACTTGGGCTGCATGACCTTGGTCATTGTGATCTTGAGTGTTTGGGACTCCTTTACCACTGAGGCTCTTGTGTTATAATCTTGGGTGATATCACCCTGCTTTGAGCAGTAAGTATTCTCAGTAACACACAAGCAGCAATACACTTCCTTCCCACCCTCTGGAAAAAGCAGCAGAAACCATTCTTCCCTCTGGAGAACAGAAGGTAACAACAGAGTTTCCATCCAGGAAGACAGAGTTGAAACAGGTGGCATGTCCGTACTTTGTTCCAGTGGCATCCCTGAGGGCCAGTCTTTGGGTTCAGCTAATCCTGCCTTAGGCACAAGACACACAAGATGTCTGTACATCTCAACATGTCCAAAGCATTAGCATTCTTCAAGGCAGACAGAATGTCTCTTGACTGTCTTCAGGGTATTATCAGGCCAGCTTTGTAAGGAGACATTAGGGAGAGTCAAGACTTAGGTTCTTGGCTGCTCTGAAGATACCAGTTTGACACCACAACAGGAAGTATAGTACTTGTTGAATTTTTTTCTTCACAACCCTTAAAGCTTTTTATTTAAAAAAAGTGTCCAATAAAACAAAAATCCTAATGTGACGAGAGGACTTGAAGAGCTGTGGTGTTGGCTTGAGCTCATTAGCCCCTCTCTTCAATGTGCTGGAGCAGGCAGGGAGATTTACTTGGTTTTGTAATCTAGTTATGCTCTGTAGATCAACACTTTTCTTGGCTTCATTACAGAAGACCACCCAGAGTCTGATTTCCTAAAGAGTAGACCATTGGAAACCATAGAGAACTGCCAAGTGCCTGTCAATGTCTCTGATGTTCAGAGACCTGTGTCCAGGCCATCTACTGCTTTGCCTGTGTACACACACTGTCTATAGGTTCTGCTGGGAATTTCAAAACCAGAGATAAGCATACACAAGATATTTAAACTAGATTGCTTTGAATATGATCACATTTATACAAAGGTGGGGTGTGCTAAAGCAAGTCTTATGATACGATTGACTCTATTTGATTGGTCTTTTTAAGTTGCTAAGTATTCATAAAGCTATTAGCGTATTGTAGGTGCAGCTTGAAAAAGTAAACCTTTCTCTACATAATGCTTCCAGGTAGAGAAAATAAATGTCAAAATGACACCTTTAAGAAGAGTTTAAATATTCACCTGCTAGCATTGCCCAAAGCTGTGATCTAAGTGGGACAAAATGAAGTAAATTTGAACTTTTGCATGGCATGATTTCAACTTTTATGCCTTGGCAGTGAGAGAGGGGGAGAAGGTACGTGATATACTTCTTAAGAAGAAAGAACTGTTAAATCGGTGTCAGAGATGCGCTCAACAGGTATACAACATGCATGTTCAGTCTTGGCTGAAGAGAATAACGTTTATTTCTCCATACCATGCTCCATTTACCCTAAGGACCAGTGCCCTACTTAATGCTCTGAGGCATGGCAGGCAGTCTCTTGATCTAACAAATGCAATGTAGTTCAGAAGTGTGAGTTGTGTCAAGATGAACAAATGAAAGAATGGGAGAGTGAAGGAGAATGGATGAAAGAGCCAGGAGCCTGACCGTACAGCTATAATAACACAGCAATAAACCTGGCCATTATTTTGTGCCTGTGTCAGAAGCAATGGGAGGCCTTGGATAGAATAGCCTGATCTGTACTCAGATGATGCTGAGCAGAACAGCATTTCAAGCTACTGTGATGAAGAGCCTCCAGCAGAGAAGGTGTCTCAGAGTAAAGGACTTAGCTATACTTTTCATTGTCAGTATAGGTAAGTCCTAGGTCCGTAGCTAAGTATAGCTATAAGGCCAGAGATAATCAATCTCAAGGTACCTGTTGCAATGAATGATTGCCTGCAGTGCATAGCCCCGTGTCAAAATGAAACAACACCGCTCCTTTTATAATTCTGTATTGCACAAGGAGAAAAAACATTTTAGGAGTTAACATTTTTGCTCTGGTGTTCTTATTTTACTACATATATGACCTATTTTATTCCACTATACCCTAAAGAAAGATTTTTCGTTGTCAATAATTGGGTAACAGTTGCACTTTAAATTGTAAAATGACTTCTGCTTCACTTTGATATTAAACACAGATTTTAAGAGGAACAGGAAGCTTTATAAAAAGCAGGGTTGATGAGTAATTAAATGTAACATCAAATGAAAAGAAAAACATCTTTAGAAACGTTATAAGTTAGAGAAGACAGATTTTGCTTTCTAGCTTTAGATTTTTTATTTTATAATAATGGGTCACAGAAGGACCCTTTTCATGTTCTAATTTTATTGCACTAACATCAGTGGGAGTAGCTGTATTCAGAGCTTAGCACACAGTTAAGAACTCTGCAGAGCTGGGGCTTAAATTTAACCATCAGGTAGAGCAGCTCTCCTTCATGGAGCCCATCATACCAAAGATTAGAAATGCTGCATTGCAGTTTCTGATATTTTTAACATCAAAACTCTAAAATGAAGAGCAGGACCAACTAATTACTTGATTGAATTAAAACAATTACTAAGAACACGTCAACTTTCACACACACATAAAGGCACAAAAAATTGTTGTTTTCTTAAGGACGCACAGGAATACATGTATGCTGGTAGAAGTGTGCTAGTCCACTGAAAGTGTGGAAATGCATCCGAGAATATGTACATGTTCTTGCTCATAAGAAGGGCTGGATCTGGTTTCATGCCAAAGAAAATTCCCCAGCAGCTGAAGTACACTTTTAGCTGATGGAGATGACATGCATCACAGCAACTTCTTTCTCTGCACACAATTGGTGTTGCTTTTAACAATACAGTCTTTACTTGAAAGGTCAGTATGGTGGGAGAAGCTATGGCTTCAGCATTTTGTTAGTTATGAATCTTTGGGGGGATTATTTTGGTAAAGGAGAGCATAAATAATTTGAGCTCTTGGTTGCTCAGTGAAGCAAGACTGTCCAAGTCAGCTCAGGTAAATTTGTAGTCAGCCATCAAGAACTTTGTTTTCACATTTGTTTTACTGGGATTGGCAGCAAGAGAGTGTCAGGATGAACACTGAAATCATAGAATAACAGACCTTGCAGCTGTATGGATGGATGGCCACTTTCCAAGCAAATAAAAGAAGGAAAGCATGGAAACATTATACTCCTCTGTTTTGTAAAAGGACTGAGAGAAATTGCGGTTCCTGAAGATAAAGGACAAAAACATGGTGATTGAGGACACAGTAGAAAGAAAATTCAGGAGAAAAGAGTCTTATCGAATATAAAACAACATTTCCTAAATTGAAAGATCAAAGATTGTATAATGGTAGTTTTGCAGTGATGAACGGGCTTATCAAAAAACACTTCCTGTTTTCTAGCCTTTTCCTGATTCTAACGTCATCTTCAAGGCATGATGTATGTCTCTTAGCTTCCCCCTCCTCTTCAATATGTAAATCAGATAAAGATTAAGACAAATTTGGGAGTGAGTGAAATTTGGCAACACAAAATCTGTGGATACTTGATCTATTGTGGAGCTGTGCCAGGATCCAGTTGCTGAAACAGAATTCTACTAGGACTTCTACTCATGATGTCTTACAAATAATTATCACAGAGTTATCAAGGTCCTCAAAATAACATATGATTTTAATCTAAAATAACTAATAATTGACACTTAAGAAAAAATATCCAGAATATTAAAGTGTCTTGGATGCAAACTTGTTAACTGCAAGACTTCGGATCCTAAATATTTGTGCCTTCTTTGCTGTTAAGACTATCCTGGGCTTGAAGCCTGGAGTATTTGGCAAACTGATCATTTAACCTTATGTACAGCCTACTTTAAAAGATGAAGGAAAAAAGGTTTCAGAATTAGCTGGGCTGAAAAATACAAATTACATACCTTCAAAAATAAAAACTACAATTCCTACTTGCAAAAACATTGTGCAGAAAATCTAATTAA